AGTCGTTGTCGCCTTTACCATCTTCCCTCTAGTGGGGTGACACGCCGCAGCGAGCAACGTCGGCATCTGTTCGAACAAAGCATCAAATATATATTCCCCCACCTATATCGATCCAGATGAGTAGACATTCCCCACGGACTGCTGCCGGTGATTTGAATTACTTTTTCTCGATATCAAGAGGTCGTCGTGAGGCGCTTGCGCTTCGACCAATCGCAGCTACTTAGATGTAATTTTTTTGGCGTTGATTTGTTGGAAGTCTGATAGTCAGATATCCCGTATTCCACCCGGGTCGAATTTCGAAAAGAAAATAGCGCACGTAAAAAAAAAAAAAATCGTCCCAGATTATTCTTCCGAAGCAACGTTTTGGTGTGCACGGGATCGAGGGTATAGGAAAGAGGAGGAACTGGGTAGAGATCGGCATGACTTTTGAAGATTGACAGGACAGCAACCGAATCAGCAGGCAGCAGCAGCACTGCAGAGAGCGCGTGCATGATGCTAGTAGTTGCAGGAACAAACGAAGCAAAGGTTGGCGCAAAACAACGCGCCACGGGAGGCAGGGAGGGTACTGTACACCGTGAAACCCTCGGGGGGTTTCCGTGAAAGATGCCCCAAGAAGCAGACAGACCCTCACCGCGCACCTCTCCGGGTTTGCATGGGGGGGGAACCGAAAACTTTTCGGGGCATCATTTTCATTGTTTTTTCCCCGTCCCGGGAACCCCTCCGGACAAAACCCCCCCCCCCCCCCCCTCGGTGTTTGCCATCGGGATTGGGTTTTCGTCGCTTGGCAACGACGTTGTAAAACAAGCCAACTCACTTCGTGAACTCGGCAACCAGGTTACCGTTTTTTTTTTTTACCTCGTTTTTTTTTTTGGCGGTAACCACAATGGTGGTCGAGTAGATTATGTTGTGCGGGGTCGAGAACCCTTACTCCGCGCAACGGGGGATGATCGCACCACGTTGTGTTAAAATGGTCAAGCTTCCTCGAGGCAGTTACACAGTGCTTACAACTGTCTCTGGAAGTGAAAGCACCAGAAAATAAATTAAGTCATACGTAGCTGTCATCCGTACGCAAGGAAGTAAGCACAAGATGCCGAACACCCTTAGCAGGATGCAGCTCACCCTTCATGCGACTCGCCAAATACCTCACGGCGCTTCGCGCTTGGTGATGTGAGAGCCTGGTCCGGTGAGAACCCGGCGTGCTCCGTCCCGGCTTTGTAGGGATGCGAGGTCAATGGTCAAACGACTACGGCATGCACGACTATGAGTACACCCCCCCCCCCCCCCCTCCTCTGTTTACGGGGCACTAACCCCAACCCAACCCTAACCCTAACCCCGACGCGCACACGAAAGAACCGAACCAAACCAACCGACCCGATCATGTGTGTCGTCGCACGATACAACACCTGGTGCAGGTGCTGTGTCCGCTGGTGAACGTGCCGATGATTGACTACACGATGGAGTTCCTGGCCCGGAACGACGTGAAGGAAGTTTTCGTTTTTTGCGTGAGCCACGCTAAGCAGCTGGAGGAGTACCTGCAGTCGTCCACCTGGGCGGCTCACATGGAGGTTAGTTGAACAGCATGCTTCAAGGTTACAGTGTGTACACTTTTTGAGAGGTTTGACGCTGTCCCGAGTGACGATATGTTTGCCCCGTCTTCTTTACCGCCCCCGCGCCCGCATTGCGTGAAATGTTGGCGCGAGTCGATATTCCGACAACGTAGTTAGATTAGGCGTCCGTCCTTCAAGAAGCTACAAGCCGTGGGAACCGTTGAAGCGGTTCTTGGAAAACATTGCGCTGACATGCGTGCGTGTGCGACGCTTTGATTTGGGACGTGCGTGATGTGGATAAGTCTTGTTCTGCTAAGTATTATGTTGGCACTACAAATGTCTCTCGCAAAGTCCTCAAGGGTTGTACGGTACACAGGGCGCCGGGTACCTTGTTATGACGTTGCTGTCTCTATTGGAGTACTTCCTCTCGGGGTCAAACGCCTGGTTTTGTGAAGCACCTGCTTGGATGTAGCTTGTGGTATGATACATACATCGCCACCTTTATTCCGGCCATCATGCGCTGTGTACATGCCGCCACTACAATACTTTCATATTTTCATGCAAATCCCCAGCGCTCGAGTGTACTGTTGCTTCGGGTTCCCTAGCATGCTCCAATTTCTCATGTGTGCTACATATTTCGTTGTCGTGTGGCGCTCCTTGTTTGTATACATAATTTTGTTTGTGAATAGGTGCGAATCATTACCTCCAACAACTGCCTGAGTGCCGGAGACGCCCTGCGCGACATCGACCAGCGTGGTGTCGTGAGATCCGACCCCTTCGTGCTGGTTTCGGGGGACGTTGTGTCCAACATCGACCTCAAGTCGGTCATCAAACAGGTTCGTCAGGACTGTTGGCGGTGGCGGTGGCGGTGGCGGTGGCGGTTTCCCTAGTTTCCCTATTGGTCGCACCTCCACTGCTGCTCCGCTGCTGTCACTGGCACAGAGATGGGTGTGTTCGATGTTCTTCTCTCTACAAGCATTCTGCCGATGCTGCAGTCTCACCACTCCACCGAATACATTTTTTGTCATTATACTGCTGTACCGTCAATTTGTTTATGCAACTTGGGCGAATTAGAGACATTCGGGCGATCTCCCCCACCCCCCCCCCTCGGTGTTTGCCATCGGGATTGGGTTTTCGTCGCTTGGCAACGACGTTGTAAAACAAGCCAATTCACTTCGTGAACTCGGCAACCAGGTTACCGTTTGTTTTTTTTTTTTACCTCGTTTTTTTTTTTTTTGGCGGTAACCATAATGGCGGTCGAGTAGATCATGTTGTGCGGGGTCGAGAAACCTCACTCCGCGCAACGGGGGATGATCGCACCACGTTGTGTTAAAATGGTCAAGCTTCCTCGAGGCAGTTACACAGTGCTTACAACTGTCTCTGGAAGTGAAAGCACCAGAAAATAAATTAAGTCATACGTAGCTGTCATCCGTACGCAAGGAAGTAAGCACAAGATGCCGAACACCCTTAGCAGGATGCAGCTCACCCTTCATGCGACTCGCCAAATACCTCACGGCGCTTCGCGCTTGGTGATGTGAGAGCCTGGTCCGGTGAGAACCCGGCGTGCTCCGTCCCGGATTTGTAGGGATGCGAGGTCAATGGTCAAACGACTACGGCATGCACGACTATGAGTACCCCCCCCCCCCCCCCC